TTGTGTATCGTGTCACAGAAGAAGTAATGAAATTAGCCAGTATGCAAATTAGTTCACACGGTACCTATTTTTAATCACGCGAGATCTAAGCTGTATGAAAGTCTCTTTTTGGTGCTGTCATCTTTTGCATTATAATGCTATCCTGTTTATAAATTATATAATATCCATCCATGGGCCATTGTTCATTCTTCTCCTTTTATTTGTTGAGCTATTATATTTTGTATTATGTATACTTCTCATGACGGGCAGGATGGTTGTTGTGGCAACTTTCTATGTCCATATTGCTCATGGACTGTCGCACACGTTCACACAAAACCCTTGCGACTTCAGAGTAAATTCTTCGTAGGAAAGTCTATGAATTCTACGAACAATCTCTTGTGTTATATGTGGAAGCCGAGATATTTTACTTTTCTTTCTTTATGTAGAAAAAAATCATGAAATCAACACCCGGTTGCAGGTCTCATGCCGGGGGAAATTCCCTGCTTGAAAATTATGTTTTCTTCACGCGAGATGTCACGTGATTAAAAATAGGTACCGTCTGAACTTATTTGCATACTGGCTAATTTCATGTCGTGAGTTCTGTGTTACGATGTAAAAGTGAAATGTTGAACGGTACAATACATAGTGCGCGTGTCATAATATGTGAGAAAATGTGAGAGTTCAGTGTTTAAAGATCTGGGTAGATGGAGTTAGGCGTGTTGTGGAAATTTTGAAATGTCTAATGTGAAATGTTTAATGACAAAACGTCAATTTACACGATGTATTTTTCAGTATTACAATATTTTGTTAAATTTAACGTCCTCCAATTCACACATTACATTCAACATTTGCAACATTGTAGATGTAAAAGCACTAACAACAGCACTGACTTTTGACTCAAATCCCCCGTCATATATAGTGTGGTATGACATGTCATCCCGTACGATTTGTATGCTAATGTTGACTTTTTTGTTGTTTTGGGTTGATGTTGGACCAAGCTATCCAAAAATGTTGGGGTTCAAATTTTCCGGGAGGGACATTTTTGAAATCGGGAACCTATTAATGAGGACATGGCTATCTCCGCCAATAATGGTTGAATTTTCATGATCTGAAGTTCATTCTCGTGTTCTTTCATCATGCTGACCCCATCTATGATACACTTAAAGCAAGTTTTCATTGACTTCCGGTGGGGAATACTAATTTCCGGTGTCAAACTCGGATTGATTTCAGCCAATAATCTTTGGATTTTCATGATCTGAAGTTTATTCTGTTTTTTGTTTCATCATGCCGACCCCATCTAGGATACATTTAAAACGAATGGAAGTAGTTTCTATTGACTTACGGTTGGAAATATCAATTTACAGTGTCAAACTCGGATTGATTTGAGCCGATAATCTTTGGATTCTCATGATCTGAAGTTCATTCTGGGGTTCTTTCATCATGCTGACCCCATCTATGATACACTTAAAGCAAGTTTTCATTGACTTCCGGTGGGGAATACTAATTTCCGGTGTCAAACTCGGATTGATTTCAGCCAATAATCTTTAGATTTTCATGATCTGAAGTTTATTCTGTTTTTTGTTTCATCATGCCGACCCCATCTAGGATACATTTAAAACGAATGGAAGTAGTTTCTATTGACTTACGGTTGGAAATATCAATTTACAGTGTCAAACTCGGATTGATTTGAGCCGATAATCTTTGGATTTTCATGATCTGAAGTTCATTCTGGGGTTTGTTCATCATGCGGACCCCATTCTAGGGTTGGTTCCAATTTTTCGACTTTTGACCCCTCTGGGAGGGGCCTTTTTGAAATCCGGACTCCTCTGACCGAGTCCATGGCAATCTCTACCAACAATGGTTGGATTTTCATAATCTGAAGTTCATGCCGATCCCATCTATGATACACTTAAAGCAAATGGGACTGAGTTTTCAATGAATTCCGGTGGGAAATACCAATTTCCGGTGTCTCAGCCTACCACTTTTTGTGGATTTTGAAGCATGGTAAAAAGATTAATATGGTAAGTTTTGGGTGACTGGAATGTTGTGTCATGAGATTCAAGACACTTTGACATTTGTAACAAGTAAACAAGTTTAATATCAAAAACATAAAGAATCTTAACAAGCCGAAACAAAAAAAAACAAAAAACAAAACAAAAAAAAACCCAAAACAAAACAAAATAAAAACAAAACAAAAAGATCGTATCTTGGAAATAACATGTGCAGAAAGATGTATAAGGCAGACCATTTTTTAGCAACTGCATCGCCCTGGGCAGCCTGTTAAACAGCCACATTTTGTGAGTTCAATTACAACACGATGGGCAGGCAGACAAGATTTGGCACAGGAACCTAAATGCCCTTGTCCAACTGCCAGCCGCTGTCGTTAAATGACAGGACGGTTCAGGGATCGGGTTAGGTACGACTTGTCGCGTATCGCGATGTACTTTGTTCCTGTATGTGTTATATTGGGCGACAATGCGGCACGAGTCAGTGGAAGCATCTCTCCCAAGTTTTCTGAACTGAACTATTGTCATCTAAGTGCCGGTAGGGTTAAAGGAACAGATGGAGAGTAGACTTGGCAGGCAAATCTCTCCAATTCCTTGACCCGCGAAGGCAAGTCACCCTTCTCCAAACTTCTTGAAACAGGTAATGACAGGGCCATCACCATCAAGCTTCATGTATGCACCAGCCCTTGTGATGCCCACAAGTTTACCTCTCCAGTCAGCACCAGGGAAGCTGCGAAGTCCAATCAGACCAATCGACGATCCCGGGAGACAAGGTCCATGAGAATTGTGAGGTCATGGGCGTCACGTGACCAAACACCTGCTTCCCGCCAGTAACTCTCAGCTGCAGATGCAAGATGTAAGAGTTTCTCAATGATGAGAACCCTTGTGGTATCAAACTGGCTAGGGTATGCTGTTGAAGGAGCAAAGGCTCAACCAATGTCATATGCTAGCTATCCTGGTTGATATATCACAGGCCACACCACCCAAACTTCTCATCATTTATGCAATGGCTGTACGTCAGAGTATGAAGAAACATCAAAAATGCGAATCGATTCAGAAGCCACAGAAAGGGGTACTGCGTGATAGATTTCTTTCAACCGAAATCGATCCGAGTTTGACACCGGAAATTGATATTTCCAACCGGAAGTCAATAAAAAATACTTCCATTCGCTTGAAGTGTATCATACATGGGATCGGCATGATGAAAGAACCTGAGAATGAACTTCAGATCATGAAAAATCAACCATTATTGGCGGAGATAGCCATCTTCTCGTTCAGAGGAGGTCCCGATTTCAAAAATGACGCTCCCAGAGGGGTAAAGGGGTCGGAAAATTTGAACCCCAACATTTTTGGTTAGCTTGATACAACATCATACCAAAACAACAACAAAAAATTTTAGCATACAAATCCTACGGGAGCTGTTTTGATGACATGGCATACCACACTAATACCTGCTCTGGACCAGTCAAGTTTCTTTGGAAGGAAGTTGGGCACAAACATCAGATGGCCGGTCCTTCCTCCTCTTATGTGTGTTATAATATTATATGTGATTGTGTCATAAGTGAAAAAGAATGTGATTGTGTCATGATGAATTGAATAGTTAATATGTCCATGTATATTTCAGTGCTATCATATTATACATGTATGTGTGCTATAATAATGTGATTGTGTCATGATAGGTGAAAAAGAATCTACATGTATATATAAAAGAATGTACAAGTATATATATCATATTTGACTGTGCCATGAAAAGTACAAATATGTTTATATATTCACGTATTCAAGTTATCTGCCCTTGATCGTAGCTTGATTCTACGAACCAATCATAAAACAGTTTACAAAGGAGTTTTAGCCACATTGCTTACGTTCAAAACAATATAGCCACAGATCACAAATAGACTGCTCTAACTTTTTCCCAAATTTTGGTTGGGAGAACGCTTTCTACCACAGATGGAGCAACATGTGACACCCTCTTGCCCAACAGCACGTAGGGGGTTCTTCGTGAAAAACTTGAGATACACAAGCTGGAAGTAGAAATAACTAAACATGCAATTTTCCGCCCTAATTTCAACCTAACCAACCTCTCAACTCTCGCATCCTTCTGTCTCAAAATCGTGAATATTCAACAAAACCTGACAGACAGTGTATTTTCAAACCCTTTTCTTCGATTCTACACCGAAAAGTCAACAAAAACTTTGTGGAGAGCACATCTTGACATTCTAAGGCCAGCCACACCCCCAATAGGTATTAGGCTAGTAAGAATAAGAAAGACAGCTCCACGCTGCTGAGGCAATCACCCCTAGTGAGCACTCCAAGAGATGAGAATGACAGAATGGGTTTTTGGGACAATCAGGACTAAAATTTCCAAAACTGCACACAAGACATGTTGTCATATCATCATCATCATTGGGTGTTTATTCATCTGTTTATTCAGCCATCATCAGTTTGGATTGTTATCAAGGCCATGCACATAATTTATTGACAATATTTGATTGCAGTTACAGTGAAAATGAGAGTGAAAATCAGGTATCTGAAGGAAATACAAAAAGATCCTTGTGGAGGTAAGATTCTCTTTCTGTGGCTCTTTTGTGTCAAATTTTAGTATGGTTGTACAATAAGTATGTGACTTATTTGTCGCAGTCATATATTTGAATGTCCGGATACAGCCTGGCATCCTAAATTATCTGAACAAATTTTGTTATTTAATTTTATGGGGAGTTTGATTAGCAACAAATAGTTCTAACTTCTATTATATATAGGTACTTAGTTGTCTTCTAGTTTGGGTTGCCTATTGGAGATGTTGCCTGACAACAAATTTTTTGTCTGCATGGTGTAATGATTAGAATAATATAATATGGTATTCTTCTTTCCTAACTTGACACACTTAAGTAAATATCACCATGTCTTGTCATTTATTCAAATATTGTAATACATGTACATGTAAACTTCATTCTTTTAATTTTGGGGTGCATGCCCAACCCCAAGGGGCAGGGCAAAAAGTGACAAGGCAAAACGTGTTGCAGATATGTATATTTCATATCCAAAATTTAAATGATTTTATAAACCAGCGGCTGCCAGGCAGGATACGCCCACATTTTCGAGAGATGGATAGAGAACAAGCTAAAACTAAAAAGAAAGTGATTTTTCCTACAATCAAGGGCCATAATTTAGGAAATTACAATTCGATATGCGCAAATATCGAAAGGAACCGAGATCTTTGGGTTATAAACTTACATTTCAAGTTCCAACAAACTCGGATAAAAATTGTGACCTCGATAGGGTCCACAACCTTGATATACCATATTTTTACGCTATTTGAGAACGAGGGGCGGCCATTTTGTCTGTCAGTTTTGGACCGATTTTCACAAAATTCGGACTCAGCCGTCCTTAGGGTGTAACGGTGATATAATAATACGTTTGTTTTTAATCGGATAAAAATTATGACCTCTATAGGGTCCACAAGCTAAAAACGCAATTTTTCGTACAATCAGGGGCCATAATTCAGGAAGTTACTGTCCGATATGCGGGAATATCGAAAGGAACCGAGATATTTGGGTTATAAACTTACATTTCAAGTTTCAACAAAATCGGATAAAAATTGTGACCTCTATAGGGTCCACAACCTTGATATACCATATTTTTACGCTATTTGAGAACGAACGGCGGCCATTTTGTCTTTTAGTTTTGGGCCGATTTTCACGAAATTCGAAGTTTAAACCAAATTGGATACAAATTGTGACCTCTACAGTGTTCACAAGCTAAAAACGTGATTTTTCGTACAATCAGGGGCCATAATCCATGAAGTTACAGTCCGATACATGCCAATATCGAAAGGATCCGAGATCTTAGGGTGATAAACCTATATTTCAAGTTTCATTGAAATCGGATAACAATTGTGACCTGTAGACTGTTCACAAACAATTATGGACGGACGGACGGACAGGGGCGACGACAATATACGTCCACATGAAAATGTGGGCGTATAAAACTTGAAAAAATTATGGATAATTGAAATTTTGACAATAACAGTCCTACACCATGAGTAAGAACTGTGATAATTACACAACGCCAAAGTGGCAACATGTTAAAAAATTCGTGATCATTATGTAGTAGCTTATTATAATATGCATCGTGTATTTAACGTAATGTATGTTTTTGATAAATCATTATGAACAATTATTACAGCTTTTTTTATTCACCATAATCGACTTTTGTAGAGAAATCACACAATAACAACCTATGACTAAATTTGACAATCACGTCTGAAATAGAATCAAACAATTAAGTGTTATAACAAAAAAATAATGAATTAAATATATAATTGCTAAATGGTCTAAAACAAATTCATTGGAATGTTGAAAATCCTACTCGTTCCGAACCAATAATAAATAGTTCCAATCCGGACTGTAGCGAAGTAGCCTACATTCTGTCCGACTCCGATCCGATTAGATGAGCTTTATTGAATTATCTTTTTTTTTGTTTTTTTACTATGGATTGCATATTTAGACCAAACTTTCATACATACTATAATGGCACTATCATTAAGTACTATAATTCAGTATTAAGTAAAATCCAATATCTAAACTCACGTTCCTTGCCCATAAGCTTAACTTTGGCCGGTGAAGTGTTCCGAAATAATTCATCATTCAGTATGCGAATAAAAAATTGAATTTGTAGGGTGTCGGACTGGCGGCATTAAAAATTTAAAACAACGTCCTGGCGAAGACGTAGTATTCCGATGGCCATTTTAATATCTAGCCACCACTGCAATGCCGTCGTCATTAACAACACTAGACCAATACTTAGTTATTCATAAGAAGTGACATCATTTAATTGTACACGGAATTATATATACTACTCACTATTAATAGTTGTAATTGGTGGATATCTAACCATTGATGTTTGAGATAAATAATAGACAAGGGTTCCGCTTCCCAATATAGCTACAGTAGACAGAAATACCGTATTGTCCAATATCAAAAAGGAAATCCCAAGTATTGTAGAAACACCCACATAAACAATAGGACAAAACAGCACAGTCTAGAACAAAAAAAAATATATAAATAATATATTTCGTTTTTTGACGTTAAATTTAAATGAACTAAAATTAGGTTTCGTAATGGTTGAAATACAAAACAATAAATAGAAACGAAGATTAACTTCGGTCATATTGAGACAAACTAAAGGATATCTTTTCTATGATCAAGTGTGCAAACTGCAATACTAGGGAGAATAATTTTCTCCCCGTCAGCTGCGCTTACTCTTCATCGAATTTCGACTGTCAATATGTCTTTCACTTGCAGTATCATGGGAACACGAATGGATCTTGAGTTTCTCTTCCGTTCGAAGGATTAGATAACAATATCCTTGTCAGCCCCACGGGTGCTATACCTAACAATTGAGAACCGGTCGTAAAAAATCCATAATTCTTGTCGGCCCACAAAGGGCTTTCGCAAGTTTCAAAATAGCTCGACGAGCGCCACCCAACTCCAAACAATAAACAGTTCAAAATCGTGAAATAGATTCAAAATCGCGAATACTAGGCCAACCTTTCTCGTGCTTATAACAAGCCATATGATTCCGTAAAAAATGTAACATTTTAGGAGTTTCCTGCATAATTCAGAATATTAAATGAACCAAAAAATACATTTTTTTCAAAACATATACATATATATTAAGATAGATATACCTGAAATGTGTCCGTTGTGTCTGGATATTTCTGTCTTATCCATTTTAAAGAAGCTACACAAAATATAGACCAGGTTATTTTAAAGAATGAATAGGTAGTTAGTAAAGATCTGATATCCCCAATAAGTATAACCATTACAGATGTTAGAAACTGAAAGTTAAAACATTACAATAGATTGATCAAATCTAAATGTAAATGAACTGCTTTATAGCTTGTGGCTTTTGGGCATGGCAGAAGGAGTATAACCAGCTGCGTTAATTTTGGTGTCCAGTGCCATTCACCGAATTGTTTCATTATTAAATCAAACATTACACAAACAAGTAAGAATCTTAGTCTGAATGGTCCTATTAATCACGGAGTTTGTTTGTCAATAGTATTTCAGTGCCTTTTTGTGTCGACAGCACCTAAAGTATAGCTCATAAAGCATTGGAAAAGGTGGACGACAAGGAAAGATATGATATAGATATACGCTTCTTCTATATGCCATCATTTATATGATTTCATAAAACAACTGACAAAATTATGGATATTGTTGGCATAAAAGACGTTTGTGGGTTCTTGTCTGTGATTAATACGACCCGAACAGACAAATTTCCATTAAATCTGTATTTAATTATATTTATAATCTTGCATGTTTTAAAAAAAATTTTGAGAACTAACCAGAAACAAAATGGATACTAATGGTGTTCGCCTGGTTATACTGACCATGCTCAGGAAGCGTGGAAAGAGGTTATCTCTTCCGGCAACAAAGTTCATACTGAAACAAAGGTTTAGAACTATGAGGATAGAATCCAGGAAGTAAGAAAATAAACCATCGGAACGAAACCAAATAACAAGAAGAACATGAACTTACCGACTAGCCATAAAAATATTGGTATTACCAGAAACAGCAGCAAATAACCCGATGATCGGTAAAATCACCCATTGAAAGAATCCTAATTTATGCTTTGAAAATACCTGTCACAATAATTAAAAAGCAATAAATAATATGTAGAATTATGTAAAATTACTAAATAATAACGATTTTACAATAATGGTCTTTATCATGTATTCGACATAACCTTCCAAGTTACGAAGATCTATTAAGAATAAGACTTAGAATCAATCTACTCTTCTTAAAGATGCATCACAGGCACTCCAAAATGTCAAAGTTAAATCGTTCACCATATCATGACATAAAAAAACCAACTTAAATTCAAAGTGCCAGAATGATTGCCATAATTTTGGCATGGGAAAAATGAACAGAAGCTGATTAGGCCACCATGATGTTATCTAAGTAAAAAGACAAAAACTTCCTTGAGTCCAATCGTCAGCATAGTTTGTTGTTTTCGGATCCAGTACCGAAGCAAAACTATAATCTATAATATACACAAATATTTTGTTAGCTACTTCTATACACGTACTTTGTCGGGGTTAACGTCCGCTTTTACCTAGGGCGATAACGCAGACGAGTGTCTAAGAGGGAATCTGAACTATGGTTAGTACCGACTGTACTTCTGTACATTTTGCCATTAAAATGTACTTACTAGAGCTATAGCTAAACCAGATGATATTTCTTCAGTAGTGAGAACAGCATGGTAAGCTACATTTGTTGTGACATATACTACAGTAGGTATTAGTACTCCTATTAATATAGACAAGGGTAGGTTTCTGAAAGCAATCAAAATAACATATCAATAACGAATTCAGAAACTATAAAAGTAAATGCTAAAAATGGTCCATTAAAATACGAATAACTGTTTACGTTTGTTATCATAGTTATGAACCAAGTTCAACTGTTTCCATTAATACGGTTAGTTATAAAGATTAGTGTTATTGCTATGAATTGAAGCCAGAGTAGTCCATTAATACGGTTAATTAAATAAAGATTCTTATTGTTATGAAGTAAAGCCAGTAATCGGTAGCTTCGAACTACAAACCAAAACGAATTTAAAAACGAAATGGAATGGAATGCCATAAAAAGCACAAAAATACCCCACTTTCTACATTACAAGTCCAGCATTTTAATGATTTATCGCTTGACTGTTGTCAACTGCGGTGGGTAAAATATGACTGTTTTTCGTCGGAACGGTAGTGGTTTCATTGCCAGAATTTAACTAACGTTACACAGGCTGGATTTTTAATTCACAGGGTAATTCCATACAGTACACTGCCCAGGATGGTTACTGACAAAACAAAAGTGAGATACCTCCTTTGGTACTTTAATTCACGGGAATTTCTGGTACATTTTTACTGTTTTAGATATGCAGAAAGAAATAAACAAGTTCAGAAGGACTACATCACACATAAAACAACCCACAACCTCCGGATACTGTAAGTCAGAAGTGTGCGCAAAATATAAAAAAGATGATTATTAATATACGTATCGTAACAGCCATATTATCTACAGCAGACAAGTAAGGATCAGCCATTAAAATAAGGAACGTATTAGTAGCAACATGGTATTATTCTCTTTTAGTGGTTTGTCACTTTACAATATTACATTTCGTTCCATTCCATCAGCCATTAAAATAAGGAACGTATTAGTGGCAACATGGTATTATTTTCTTTTACAATATTACATTCCTTTCCATTTTGTTTCAGTAAAGTTTCGATTGGTAGTGTAAGCTTATTTTCTAAGACATCTGATACCACTTCACATTTGATGAATCCATATAGCTAACATTTTTGGGAATTGTAATTGTAAAAGAAGCAAAACGACTGTCGATCTGAAGATTGGAGTTGGGACGAGTGGTACTTGTTCGTTTTTTTTTTTTTTTTTTTTTTTTTTGGGGGGGGGGGGGCTTAGACGCGGGTCCATTGTTCCAACACATGTCGCCCGATTGCATATACATATATTTCAAGATTCCGGATATGTTTTATTTCACACGAATAAAATGAAGAAAACTTGAATGTATCGGATACCAGTTAATTAGATTTACACTTTCATTGTTCAGCCAACTTAAAGATGTATGGATTTTAACTATCGAAAGTTGCTAGAATTGTGATATTTTACCGTTTTGCATTCTGTATTTCTTCTGTTCCAAACGCTACGGAATCCCTAAAATACAAGGTTGGTTTTCGTTATAACACAACGATATCTAAGTGGTAAATGTCTCACTCATTTCCATGGTCAACGAAGATGTTTCGGGCACCGTCCCTATTCGTTTAACTGGTTTGTAGGTGGGCGCATTTTCTTTGATTAAATCATTGGTTGCAAGAAAAGAAATTCTTCATTGCCAAGAGTGTTTAATTATTAGTGTATGGTTTTTTTTATATAATATACTCTTCAAAAAAAGTAGGGGATATTCAGAAACAATACAAAACTGCGGAAATGCACTACTGTTTTATTAGAGGTAACCAGTGTATGTTAATAACAGGCCAATTGCCTACACATGAACATAAACAGTTCATATGGGCGGCTTATCTGACGGCCCTATTTCACTCACAAAGAGATACACAGTCAAAAGTGAAAATGGACGTTTCTGATTTTTGTCTTAATAATGAGTAATTGCCCCATCAATCCTCAGACATTCAGCAATTCGTCGTGGCGTGCTCCTAATCAACCGTCCAATCACGATTTGGGTCAATCTGACCCACCCCCCTTGCAGTGCCACGGCCAAATCTTGCAGTGTTGTCCGTTGACGTCGACGAACACGTCTCCCGATGAAAATAAACGTAACACACTAAAGCAAAGATACGCTAAACAATAAATCTTATGCAAGAACCGATAGGAATGCTAACATGGATAGATAAATCAGCACGCGGCAGTTTTCATCAAACCTTCCCTGAAGTGTCAAATTTGACAATGAACCCCTCCCACGTGTATGGCGCTATTGCGTGTCGCAAGTGCAGCTCGGTGGTTCTGTTGGGGCGATAAGTTCTTCATCTGTGAACATACTCTCAACGCATATCAAGTGTCCATGACTATTAATTATCATATCACAACCTGCAGCTCGGTGGTTCTGTTGGGGCGATAAGTTCTTCATCTGTGAACATACTCTCAACGCATATCAAGTGTCCATGACTATTAATTATCATATCACAACCTGCATAGGTATTTGCATTTCAATATCTCCTACATTTTTTGAAGAGTATATATTACGAATGATAAGCAGCTTTGATAAAACAAATAGATATAAATATGGCACTAAACATACTGTTTACAATAACTTTGTGCCCATTTCGACAATAGTGCTTTGCCTTGATTAACATTGGGGATAAAAACATGGTATTTTGTTTACACAGCATTAGTATATCTTGCAACTTACCATCCCATATAAGCAAAAAATGCAGCATAGAATGCCTTTGTTAAGCCCAGCATCGTGGTGTCAGTTGTAAAAAATGAATTCTGGAAGTTCTCCGTCTGACCTTTAAAAAATAATGATGCACGCACACCGCATATTAAATATTTTTCATCATCCTGGATTATGAACAACATGGTGTTGTCTAATATAACCAAATTTCAGGACCATAATATACTTGAATATTCTTTACTACACAGCAACGACTGCCAATACCAACCATAAATTGTAGCAAGTAAATTGCCACTCCATGGTTGTACAATGTATACTTGATAATATGATACGTGTAAGGTGATGAATAATGAAACGTTTCAAACTAAAGTTTCAGTGATACAACAGATTGCGAAGAAGATTAATTTACCTTGTGCTAAATGGATGAACCCAGTTCCAATAATTACCGTTAAGACTGTAACTTTACAAACAGTACTGACAGTTTGATAATATGCACCCAGTTTAACGCTGTAACAATTTCCACATGTAATAAGAGCTAAAAGGAAATAGCAAATATTCGAATTTCAATTCAATTTCATTCTGCTTAAGTCTATCCGTTTTGGTCCGTGGAACAGGGTATAGGCATTTCATTGCATGAAGTTGTTGTTTACACAATTAAAAACTCCGGTACACTTTTCAGACTTCAGCAACTTACAAATGATGTATGTCAAATAATTGTTTGATATCTAGAAAAAGCGAAGACGGGTGCCCTTACTGCTCCCTGGAATGACTTCTAAAGGCTACGCTACGATAAGGTAGACAGCTTACTTAAAATCATGAGTACTAATTGCGTGAGTTTCTGGTTGAATACGTTTCACACGCGTGTGCTATATTTGTTGACGATATATAGGCTTTGGTGCCATTCTTGAGGTACATACATAGATTATCTGGCACAGACAACATAATAAATGATATATTTATTTGTGGTAAAAAAAAAAAATATTTTAGAACTAATTTGGTGGCCCCGTTATAATTGGGGCCTCTGGCTGCAGGTCAGTCGCTCCACACACCCCTTAATCCTGCCGTGCCGACTCTTGCAATTTAAGTTAACCCGGGTCCTTGTCGATAGGGAGAACAGAACTAACTGGGTTATTCAGACTACATATCGAACATATATGCCGACTCTATCTGGATACTATAATTGTTTATTAAAAATTGAATATGGTAAATGTATGTATGTATGTATGTATGTATGTGAACAGCTTATTGGCCATTGCATATGGTATTTCAGATAAATCGTCTTTCACCAGGAAACCGGGACAGTCTATATTGTACCGGACTCAATGAAAACGCAGCTCTTCCAAATCAGGTCAAAACATCGTCCACTGATCGGAGTTTTTTATTCTCCAAAAATTGCGAACGCCAAATATTTGGGATAATGCGACTTGACGACCGGGTCTTGTTGATTTCTCGCGCATATTTTATTATTATTCTATAAATATTGGAACTTCTGGAAAATTCACAAAGAAACGAGAAATTGTATGTGCTGATAATACGAGAAGGCGGCTATTTTAAATGCCAATTAAAGAAATGTCTTCTATTCACTTAATTCATTCATTAAATATTCGTTTATCTGTGTTTCTTCTTTTTGTGTGTGAGATTAATAATCGTCATATTCGTAGCATTGAAAATGGGCTCTTTAGATGTGCAATACACCTACAACTAAATTTCAAATTTTCCCGTTTTATAAAATAAATGTGAATCAGTATTAATGGTCCATGAATTATCTTAATCTATCCCAAGATTAACCACCACCTATTGTCAATAACATATACCCATTACAACAGATTAATACACGTGTGTACATGTTTTAGTAACCATAAACAATTGTAAACATAGTTTTTAATACCACAGTGTTACTATGTAAATATATATAATATATATATATATACTCCGTGAAATCTGGTGTAATAACGGAACATTATTGCTACGGCCGGTGGGTTTGTTAGATTATATACAAATACATTACCCAAAATAACAATAGTTAAAATAGTCTTGGCTGAAGATGGTACACCATCCGAACACATAAAAACAGCTCTCATAATATATTCCGCAGATGCCATACATCCCAGGGCAGTTGACATAGGTCGCATGAAGAGACTCGACCAAACAAACAGAAATCCAATCACATCGCCAAAACCTTCCTTTATATAGGTATAATTACCACCCGATTTACTTACTCTTGAACCTATAATATTAATATGAAATAAATATGTACTGTTCTTTAATAATGGGGTTGTATTTATATATTTGATGTCTGCAATAAAAAACATTCTAGCTACGCCACTATTCTAATAAAACTCGAATGTCAATTATATTTATTTCATTTTTATACGCCCACATTGAAATGTGGTCCTATATTGTCGTCGCCCCCGTCCGTCCGTCCGTCCGTCCGCCCGTCCGTCCGTCCGTCCATCCGTCCGTCCGTCGGTTCGGCGTCCACAATTGCTTGTGGACGCTCTAGAAGCTAAAGTTAATATCCGATTGACTTTAAATTTATATTCAGTGTTTAAGGCCATGAGACGAAGAAGCCTATTGATTTTCAGCGATTTCCGATAATTACTGCCAGAGTTATGGCCCTTGATCACTTCAAAAAATCTTGTGGACGCTCTAGAGTCTAAAGTTAATATCCGATTGACTTTAAATTTATACACAGTGTTTAAGGTCATGAGGCAAAGAAACCTATTGATTTTCAGCGATTTCCGATAATTACTGCCAGAGTTATGGCCCTTGATCTTTTCAAAAAATCTTGTGGACGCTCTAGAGGCTAAAGTTAATATCCGATTGACTTTAAATTTATACACAGTGTTTAAGGTCATGAGACGAAGAAGCCAGAGTTATGGCCCTTGATCACTTTGAAAAATCTTGTGGACGCTCTGGAGGCCAAAGTGAATATCCGATTGACATTTAATTTATACACAGTGCTTAAGGTCATGAGACGAAGAATCCTATTGATTTTCAAAGATTTCCGATTAATTACTGCCAAAGTTATGGCCCTTGATCACTTTGAAAAAGTTTTACTGTATTATAAATGTTTCATTACCGAAAAAAGTAAAAATATGCGAGTTATGGCCCTTGATCACTTTGAAAAAGTTTTAGTGTATTATAAATGTTTCATTACCGAAAAAAGTAAAAATATGCGACAACACTTGTTAAATTTATACACAGTGTTTGAGATCACGAGACGAAAAGGCCAATTGATTTTCTAGCAATTTACGATAATTACTGCCAAAGTTATCGCCCTTGATCACTTTGAAAAATCTTGTGGATGCTCTAGAGGCTAAAATTAATATCCGATTGACTTTAAATTTATACACAGTGTTTAAGGTCATGAGACGAAGAAGTCTATTCATTTTCAGTGATTTTCGATAATTACTGCCAGAGTTATGGCCCTTGATCACTTAAAAAAATCTTGTGGATGCTCTAGAGGCTGAAGTTGATATCTAATTGACTTTAAATTTATACAAAATGTTTGAGGTCATGAGACGAAGAATCCTATTGATTTTCAAAAAATTCCGATTAATTACTGCCAAAGTTATGGCCCTTGATCACTTTGAAAAAGTTTTACTGTATTAAAAATGTTTCATTACCGAAAAAAGTAAAAATATGCGACAACACTTGTTGACTGCCCGGACGATTTAGCTGCTGTGGGCGTATGTTTCGTTGCCTGGCAACCTATCTTTTATATTGTAGTCCATTTACATGTCATATAGTTTCTTTAGTATTGGCGTTTAGATAACCTGATCTACTCGACAAATATAGTTGTGGGTGTTGGTATACAGGGCTGCTTATTGTGGTGGATTATGTAAAAGCGTATACAAGAATAATCCGGGTGACATAGTGCTTATAACCATTTGAAATACGATTATTAGATGTAGATATAATATAGATTACAATATTTAAATTAGACTGGCAACATTACGCACTGACTTCTGGTATAAGAGTACGGTAAACGTCCCACAAATATGATTATAAACACACGTGTAATTCACAGCCTGCAGACAGGACAAAATTCAAATTATTTAATTAGATTGTTTGCACAAGTCAATGGCCAGGGTTGAACTAAGCTTAAGTGGGGCCCCTGGCTGAAAATGTCACTGACGCCTCGACATCACCAGTGAAAAGGGGAATATTCTGGTCATGATCCATCAGATTCACACAAATGCTCTTTGTATGTCAGTATGGTACATACATGTACATAGATTATCTGGCACAGACAACATAATAAATGATACATTTATTTGTGGTAAAAAAAAATTATTTTAGAACTAATTTGGTGGCCTCTTTATAATTGGCGCCTCTGGCTGCAGGTCAGTCGCTCCGCACACCCTTTAATCCTGCCGTGCCGACTCTTGCAATTTAAGTTAACCCGGGCCCTTGTCGATAGCGAAAACTGAACTAACTGGGTTATTGAGACCACATACCGAACATATATGCTGACTCTATATGGATACTATAATTGTTAATTAAAAATTGAATATGGTAAATGTATGTATACGTTCGGATTTTCAAAGGGCCAGTATCGTGCCTGGAACGGTGCATACTTGATCTAATGTCAATTCCTATTTTCGGGGAAATTGACATAGCTACTAATTTCAGTTTTAGGTTCATATTGTACATTAAAGAAAAAGAATTTCTTCCCGCCCTCATATGTGAGCCTATCCACGACCGAATCGAGGACCTACCATGCAATATTATATGTATGGAAACCAACGCTTAGGGTAGGTTAGTATGGATGTGGATCCTAAAATGCTGTAAAATTAGCTTTTGGTAGTGGTTTATATTACAAAACATTTGTCGTACAGTCAAACACGATTTGTCGTACAGTTGAGTCCTCATGACACACATTCATCCACAGAATTATGCCTTTACATTGCGATAAATATATAAACCTTACCTAACTCCATATAACACATAGCTCCACACAGGGCCAATAATCCACAAAGGGCCCACATCATAAGAGTTACTCCCACGGAATACCCACATCCGATTAAAACCGATGATGGGCTTATAAATATGCCAGAACCAATAATTGCACCAGCGACATAACTGATGCAGGCTGCCAGACCAATCTGTCGTTTTAATGTCACCATTCCGGACATTCGACACAGCTGAGCTCGTATCCTTTCTTCTAAACCCTAATAAAATAAGGAGTTCAGAAGTCTTAAAGGGGAGCGATAACGTCAGCATTATTTTAATTACTAAACGTGTAACCTTCTTAGAAATGCTTTGGACATTTAAAATATGTATTTACACCGGGCAAGTGACGATATTTTTGAGAATATATTTCACAGAAATCTTCAAAACTGTATTTTATAATACAAACTAATATATGCCATTGTTAAAACGTCATTATGTATGAAAGTTATATGCATCATTTAAATTAGCGAAGCGAAGAGGACTATTGAATTTCAGCAGTTTCCGTTAATTAATGCTAGAGTCATGGCCCATGTTTCACTTTGTTATCATCATTCGATCTGTTTACAATTTATATGCATAATTTAAATTAGTGAAACGAAGTCGATTGAATTTCATAATTTCCATTAATACTTATCGCTCTTGTTTTACTTCGTTGGATATTGTGAACCCGCCGCGAACGACAAAGGTTATCATCCGATCTGTATGAAATTTATATGCATCATTTAAATTATTGAACCGACAAATCGTATAGATATCAGCAATTTCTATCAATTACTTCTAGAGTCATGGCCCATATTTTACTTTGTTGAACCCTCGAACGACAAAGTTATCATCTGACGTGTATGAAATTTATATGCATTATTTAAATTAGTAAAATGAACAAGCAGTTGCGAAACAAGATACGCCCACATTTTGCAAGAGATGGACCGAGAACAAGCTAAAAAATAAGAAACGTTTTTCGTACAATCACTATCAGGGGCCCTAATCCAGGAAGTTATTGTCCGTTATGCGCGAATATCGAAAGGAACCGAAATCCCTGGAATATAAACATATTATATTTCAAGTTTCATCAAAATCGGATAAAACTTGTGACCTCTAGTGGACCAACAACCTTTGAATTACATACTTTTACACTATTTGCGTACAAGGAGTGCCTATTTTATTGGGCAGTTTCGGTCCGATTTTCACCAATGTGATTAAAACACAGATCATATTTTGTTTCGTTTTTATAGTTCAAAATTTTGTTTTACTTGTCCTTAATACACTAGGATCTGGTTGATGTGAGGGATTAGCCAATGTAACGGTCTGTTACAGCGAGGTCTTGGTGTACGGTGCACGGAACTGTGGGTATCAACGCTGATTGGTTAATCAAATGTCTGACATCATAGGGAGGCCATCGACAGGATAAAAAACGAAACGAAATATAGATCTTTTTTTTTTAATAAGATTGGGTTTTCACAAGTTAAAACTAGTAACCCGTCCCTCAGATTGTTTAGACAGATTTTACTTTACTGTTTTAGGCCTATCTATTACTTAACAGCATTACTTTATGCATAAACTCGTGGGATTTGGAGGTTTCGCCAGTTGCCTGAAAAGATCTTGGGTTACCTATTTTTATTGCAAATCTCCTACAGAATTCCATAAAAACATAGGCTTGTGCTCACTCATCGGACAGGAAGTGGTGGGGAATCAACAAGATTTTTTTTTTAGAAATATTTCAAAGTAGTTCAATAGGTTAAGGGTAGTAATAGTATCTCAAAGCAGAAGATAAAATAAACAGTAAATTTTTAACGAAGCCTTCAAACTCGATGGGGTGTCTTTGATTCTCCAAAAATTGCGAACATGATAATCGGGATTCGTTTATTTCCCGCGTAATTTTTATTCTGCTGTAAAAATTAAAACTATCAAAACGTTCACAACGAAATGAAGAAATGCTATGTGCGGATAGTACGAGAAGGCGCCTATTTTAAATGCCATTTAAAGACATGTCTTCTATTTATTATTTCTTTAATTTTTCGCTTATCTGTGTGGGTGTTTTTTGCATGAAAATAATAATCGTCAAATTCGTCATTGATTTTTTTATCTCTTGTTTTACTTGGTGCAATTTAACCATAACTTTCAACTTTACCTGTTCTTGTCTTTCCGTTGCTGATGTTATTGTCAATGTCTATAAATACACTTACTTTGTATTTTGTGCTATACTATTTAGGACTCTAAAACCATTTATTTTCGTATAATATTTAGGTTGTGTAGGTTTACGAAATGGGGTTTAACGTCTTACTTGTCTGCACCTACTGGGCTAATGAAGATGGACATACACCATGCACTGTGTTATGAGGAAAATTTTCCCCGGACAGCGGCGCTACGAACTACTCTTATTTCGAATTAAATTGCAATAAAAGAAACACAGATAAGCGAATATTTAATGAATTAAGTGAATAAAGAGCATGTCGTTAAATGAAATTTAAAATATGGCCTTCTCGTATTATGAGCACACAGCATTTCGTCGTTTTGTTGTAAATTTTTCCGGTAGTTCTAATTTTTACAGCAGAATAATAATAATAAAAAAATACACGGGAAATAAACGAATCCCGATCACCAAGTCGCATTATCCCTATTTTTTGGTGTTCGCACTTTTTGGAGAATCAAAGACAACGCGCAAAACGAACCCGCCGCTCTTAAGGTCTTGGCGCGATTTGGACGGATTAAAAACGAAAATCGTGCTTACCATGATAGCATATCCTATTAACCTTCTGTTCAGATAAAACTGATAAATCACTTTCAAATAAAAGTTATGAAAGTATCATCTAATCTACATGTACTTAAAGTTACAATTTCATATTTTCTAAGAAAGTCAAAACATAATTATTTCTATGTCTTTTGCTCAATAGGTTGTCAACTCACTATTATACGATCATAGGTGTCATTCTCACACTTAAAACTCATTTACACCGGAAATAATAACACAATTACCTCCCAATTACCTCCCTTGTTTTCTATTCTCCACCATGGAGTAGTTATCTTCAAACGTTTGAATTTGAAGATGAAAATGATATTTTTGCCAATTTCTCAACTGGCAATAGTGAATTATAGGATTATTCTTAAACAAGGTAGGATTGTTTATAGATACCATCTATTTTAAGGCTTTATTTTAATAAATTTTAAAAATATAACTTAAAAATATGAAATTGCAACTTTAATTAAAATAAATCATATTCAGATTATCATATAGATACCATCTATTTTAAGGCTTTATTTTAATAAATTTTAAAAATATAACTTAAAAATATGAAATTGCAACTTTAGTTAAAATAAATCATATTCAGATTATCATACAGATAACACGTATAGATAATTAATAATTATATTTTATCTTCGCTTTTTTGATAAACTTATAAACGATTTACAAATTAGATTGGATTACTTAATTATCTCGAAATGAACAATCTCTACACAATCACGCTGACAGGGTGAAAAGCGACGGGCGACAATAAAAAGTTCGACAGTGAATTTTTCGTAATTGCAACCTTAAATAGTTGCGCTCTCGACATGTCATGATACCAAGTTGAAATGGGCACGACGTTATTGTAAACTATATAATGTTCAGTGCCATATTTGTATTCATGTGTTTTCTCAAAGGCGCTGCTAATCTGACATACAATAAACACTGTGGAAATAGTAAATATAGCTTCCCAAGCTTCCTATACTTACAGCAATGGATGGGGCCTGGATTTTAGCCAAGGCCACTGGTAACACGAGCCTTCAGCACACACCACCTGGTAACACAGCTATAAAGAGCCCTCAACAACACCGATAATATAATTACACGTACTTAAATATTAAGGAACTGGGTTGTCGGCATCGTTTGACAATGTCATAATTCCCTCGACTGAGCCTGATCGCTGGAATTATTCATAAGATAAACATTTCTGATAAGGGAAAATTAATAACGTTATATATTAAGTTTTGTTTTTAATTAATAAGGATAATAATTATGCAAAATAATTCGACCGGAATTCATTCTGTTTGTATTTATTTAATGGTCGCTATGCAGACTCACTTTGCTTATAAATGTATGTATTGTTATATGATTTATGGAGGTGTTTCGGAAATTGAATAAATAATATTAAAATACTGATGTGACGTCATCCTTAAAGTATGTGTGCGTGGAAATTTTGAGCCTCTGTAAAGGTTTTAGGACAGGTATTTTGGTGCGATATATGATTATGACTGTTGTATTCTGTAGCTTGTGGTAAAAGTGATAATCGAGACTTTGTTTATTATAGAACCAGTATAGTAATTGTGATCGAGGCTAGCCTAAAATTGAATCGCTAATATCTCGGTTCAGAGTGAAGCAATTTGACTGAAATTTTCAAAATATTCTATTTTCATTATCTATTAACTATAATAGCGAGAACTGTTGGCTCTTTATCTAATCATATCTAATGCCCCTTTAAATTTCCAGTGAGGGCTCATAAGGGTAAAAAACGTATTCACTGATAACATTAGCCTTTTGTCAAAACAGTTCCGATAGCCCTTGTTTCATTCCATTGCGTCATATGTGCCTAGTAACAGTAAGAGAATAACGATAAGGATGTATTTTGAATAAATACTGTACACGCTAATTTATTGAAATATTTACAGTCCAGCGAATCTATATGTCATCAATTGCATTCTACCCAAGAAATGAAGTATTATATGGACACAATTGTGTAGTATATCAAAAATAAGAATATTGTTGATGTCTCTCATCCTCATTTGCGGGATTTTAAACCCTTACAAACAAGAATACTGTTACAGTTAAATCTCTCAAAGGAATGATAGTTCAAAAATGATTCAATTCCGGACGCAAACCAAAACGGCCAAGATTCACGTTGGTGAATCATCTAATTCGTATTAAATAACAAATATTTAATTACTTTTTTAAATTTTTATGTATGGCTGTAATAACCAAGCTATTGCCGTTTTGACCAAATTTTGTGCCGTATTAGTTCAGGCTGTTTCGTTTATAAATCATATAAACGAGTCAGCATCGCCTATAAGTCTAACTAAAATCATTTGATGATACCGTTTGTATTTTGAAATTGTTTTCTTCATTAAATATCAAATAATCAATCTGAATACATTTTAGCGTCGATTAATGCGCAAAAAATTAGATATTGTCCGACAAATGCAAATGATGATCTCC